CCCCCAAAACCCCAAAACCCCAAAACCCCTTTCATTAACAGAAATATTGAAATTTTTGACCCATGATATTTAAATTCGAGTAATTTGCTCTCATTCTTTTCTTCTCCAAATTATGAACCATCACTGATGTGTTCATGATCGAATTAATATCAATAGAGGGAGAGCTCCTCTCATATCTCACTGACTGTAGAGTAGTTGTACCTGCATCAGTAGTTGTATTAAGAATATCTGGCAAGAAATCAGAGTTTCTTTTTGGAGAATTCTTATGACCAGATCCAGCTACAAGCTTCTTCAGCTTCAAATTCTTATTAGACACATCAAATTTCCCTCCTTTAAGATCGGATATCTGAGGAATTCGGTTGTCATTGCTAAACCTTTTGTATCTAGGTAATGACCTGTAAGTGTTTTTGGTAGATTTAGGAAACTTTAAGCTTGGTTCTGGCTCCTTGTCAACATTTAGAATCTTCTCATATTCCTTCTTCCATTCGTCAAGATTCATTTTCTCCATATACTTATAGTGAAGTCTGGGAACCATGAGGATCTTTTTAAGTGACACAATTTCATCTTTTAGCTCAGTTTCTGTCTTTTGCATTTCAAATTGTATTATTTCACGGATTTTAAGCTCGGTCATCAAGACTTGAATGCCACTATCAGACTCCTTCTTGAGCTGAATTTTCTTTTTCTCAAAATCTGTGGCCATATCATTAATAGTCTTCTCATACCTATTCTTGTTATGTTCAAGGTCTTTCTTTAGGTCTCCAATAATGCTTTTTAGTTCCTCGCATTTATCTGACATCTGGTTGATCTGGATCATGTAGTCATTGTTCATCTCAATAGAATGCTCAACTTCCTTTTCTTTGAACTGAACTCTTCGCTTAAGCTCATCAATACAGGACTGGTAGTAGTTCATGACATCTCCTCTTAGGATGCTTCTCCTATCACTGAGAGAGGTGTAGATGTAGGAGGTATAGAATCCGAATGGGTTCTGCATATAAGCTTCCTTCTCAATTAGAGTGTCTATTGATTTATCCATATTCATAAACCCTTTTATAAGATCTCTAATATTGTTCTCCCTATCTGGCAATTCTGCATTAAGATACCTCATAAGTTTATCAAGTTCTTCCTTTTCTAGCTGTTGCTGCCTACAAGATTGGAAGAGGCAGATTTTAAGATCCTGGATAGTCTTTTCCTGGTCGGCAACCATCGTATCCCTCATAATTACCCTTTGTTCTCTATCATATAGATCTTTACCCATTTGGTTGAACTGTTTGATGATATTAGTCATTTCTTTCTTGACTGTCTTATTTGCTGTATCAATGACAACAGAGATGATCTCTCTAGCTTTGATAGCAGCCATGTTCTTTACCTGGTCAATTTCCTTTTCATGGGCCCTCCTGATCATCTGGACTTGTTTCCTGAATTCTTTCTTTTCATAACCAAGCAAATTTTTTGAAGGCATATTGAACTGGGTCTTCATTTCATCATAGTACTTCTGTAGAGGAGTGACGCCATCATCTAAGAACCTCTCTATTTGGTTCATAAGTTGGGTCTTGTCATCTGGAGATAAGTTCTTGTACATATTTTTTGAGTAAGATTTTAACTTTTCAAGTAACATCATTGGATCATGAAGCACCTGAAGGCTTCGCTCTCTTCTCTTGATTTCTCTCTGCTCAAATTCTTCCCAGTAGCAGTTGAAAACACTTTCCTCGTCAGAGTCGAGGTTTTGGAAATCACTGTCTAGGGAAGTCTTCTTAGGAGGCCTGCTGCCATACTCATCTTTGTCTTTGTCAGGAAAGACAATTCCGCTGATTTCAGAATCAATTTCACCTCTTTGAAGAAGCTCGAAAGTAATTATGTCTTCTTTATCTAATATTTTATTTTCCAGCAGTTTGCTTTTGATCAATCTCAACTTCATCCACCATGAATTTCCTCACTTTCTGTTGCTGGCTGATGCTATCACGCAGAGCTTCATCACATCGAGGCTTACTGGCACAAGAATCTTGCTCTAATAATCTCTGCTCGACCTCAAGCTCTTTCAGGTACCTCTCCTCATCCTCTTTCTGCTTCTGAGTTTTTGAATGCTTGTTCTTGAAATCAGAGATGACCTGGTTAAGTTCAGAATCGAGGCGGTTGCTAAGTTCATCAGTGAATTTGAAGAGGTCTTTTGGTAAGAACTTCTGTAGTTGTCTTTCAGGGACGGATTCCTTGAGTTCTTTAAGCCTTTGCACGTCCTATATCACCCATAAACTCTTGTCAAACCCGATGGTGTCCAATTAGACTAGGATATAGGCTATGTACTGACCTTTTGGTACTGTTCTTCCCTTTGTTTTTGCTGAGCATCGAGGTATTTCTTAGCATCTACCATTTCTTTATCAGTGTATTTTACGAAAGCGTTAACTGATTCTTCGTCAGTGCTGTTCATTTTATTTATTGGGATTATAATTATTTAATTAGAATTTAAAAAAGGGGTTTTGGGGTTTTGGGGTTTTGGGGTTTTGGGG